ATGTATACTATTATGGGCACAATAATTTGTATTTTTATTAAATTTGAAAATGTATAATCTAAAATTAAATTGAAAGTATTAATTACACATTAAAATTATTGCTTATAATCAGAGAAATGGTATTAATACAAAATTAGTGAATGAGTGATAATAAAAAAATATTTTGTATTTTGACATCAACGCATAAAGCACCTTAGCCCCCCCCCCACTTCTATATATTGATAGTTTATACTTGGGATATCCTCTATTATCTGTAAATCTTGGGTCAACAATCTATAATAGTCTAATCAACTAAAATATATTAAGCTGCATTATTTTTATTTATAAACAAGTTCTTAATTTCATTTATGACTTGTCTAGTTGTAAATTTATATTTTGTAGAATATTCTCAAATTTGCTCTATTAAAAATACTATTTGGCAAGAAATGAATCAGTATTTTACAACAAAACATCTTAGTTATGTAAAAATGACAAATAAATAATTATTTTCATTAATAAATAAAATGATTCTATAACAATAAATTAGTAAATAACAAATAAAATAACATTACTACCAACTTTTTTAATTGGTTTGAAATTTTTTTCTGAAAATTGTATGTCTTGATAAGTCAAATACTTAAATGATGAGTTACAGCCAATATGTGACAGGTGTAATTAAATACAAACAATTTGTAAAAATAATAATATATTGCTAATAGTGTATTGCATAAAATATAAAGTGCCTTAATTTGCATACATTTCTAGGGTGGAGGTTGAATCCGAGAAACCTCGGATTATAGACATGTCATCAGTAGATTAGTAGTTAAAGTGGTACACAACTATTACTTACTAAATAGCATTAGCTTTAAAAATAAAATTTTTTTTTGGACAAATACAATATGAACTTTTTTAAAATTCATTTTATAACACTTTTTATAGACTTATTCTTCAATGAACATCAATACGACCCCACAAATATATTTTATTTAAGTTCCTAGTTAGGTGATATTTTTCCAAAGCCATGAAAGATGGCATATGATGATATTCAATTTGTTTTATGTTTCCAAAATTAAAAAATGAATT